GAATAAATTGCTTATAGCAAAACGAAATGTAAACGAATTAATTTCAGATTTCCCATGAGAAGATCCTTTTTCTTTTTATATTATTCTTGTATTCGTTACTTTTTCTTCTTTGCATTATAATTCGTTTCTTGGTGTGCTTTGAATTATATTTTGTTTCTTGTTCTTGTTTGAAATACATTTTGTTTCTCAATGTAAAATTTTGTTCTTCTTGAAATTGTAAATCGTTTTTTCTTTCTTTCTTTCATGCAAATAGAGTTTAACTAAGCTTCTGAGATTCGTGGAAAAACCAGTTTTGGAAATGAATTTTTCACGCGATGGGAAACTGTAGCAGAACGTGCATTTGATTTTCTATTAATAAATCACGGACCATTAAAGATTCAACGAACGGAGGAAAATACGCACGATATTTCCATTTCCTTTCCTCTCCTCTTCACCTTATTTTCATCTGCTGAACTCTCACGTACACACAATTATCCGATCCTCAACTGTTCCACCATAAAACTTAGTTAAGTTGCCTATCTTGAACAGCTATTTATTACAGCTCTTTATTTTTATTGGTATTATTTATTTGAACAAATTTGTCTACAATATGATTTAGTTTATTTCTAATTTGTAAAGTTATTAATTGACGTTTCGTAACAGAAATTATACGAGAAGATGCGCAATTGAAGACCTTTTCTAATGTAATTAAAAAAAATAAATAGTAGTTTTTCAGTTAAAGCGAAAAATCAAAAATTGGACTAGTCAAAATTGAATTTGTAAAATAGTCATTTTTTATCATTACATAACAAAAGTTATATCAAAAGATGCGCAAATGATGAGACTTTTGTATGTAATCATAAAAGTTTTAATAATTTAATTAGAAAATTTATAAATTAAAAAAATATAATTGTAAAAATATATTTTTTACGATTTTTTTTTTCTAAATTGAAAAAAAAAAACATAAACATGGACTAAATTGTTTAATTTGAATATTTTAAATAACATTAATAATATTCTATAGCTTTGACTTTAAAGTGAAAATTTATATAAAAATAATTGGGTTAAAAATTGAAAACATTTAATTCATTCTTGTATAATGGAAATGGTGAAAAGTTGTACTTTCTGGAAATCGGTTCGCGTGGAAACTAAAATAAGCTTGGGAAAATATGAATTGAAAATGGAGTGAAGAAATAAATAGAAAGAAAAAACGGAGGAACTAAAAGAGATAGAGAGAAAGAGAGAACAAAACTGGATGGATTTAATTTTGGATTAAGCGTGGAGTGAACGAACGCGGAAGACGGCGACGAGATTTCATCTCTATGCAAATTTCACTCCAAGTTCTGCACAAAAGATTCTAAATAAGAAAAAAGTAGAAGAAAAATGTAAAGAGGAATTCGTAGAAATAATCAATTAAGCTGAGAGTTTATTAAAAAAAGGGGTTTATTAAAAATATAATTAGGGTTTAATTTATTTAGAGAATTGAATTAAAAATTTAGAATTTTTGAAGTTTTTTTTTTATAATTTTTAATATGAAAGTTTATTACTTTACAAGTTTTACTTATAAATTGTAAATTTAACAAGTAATTATTGTTAATTTATATACATTTTAGTACAAAAAACCTAGGTTTTTGTGAACTTATAATGAAAAATTTACTTAAAGTAGAAAATTTCAAACGTAATTATTTGAATTTATAGAAATTTTAGTACAATAACTAGATTTTTTGTGAACTTATGAAGAAAGATATAAAATTTATTTTGTAAATAAGACTATTAGAACTAAATATTAAATTTACAGTTTTACCTCTTAATTTTAGTAAAAAATTTCATAAAAACTGAAATTTTACTTGTTACAAACATTTTATAAGAAAATACGTAATTTCTTATTCAATGAAATAAACTGGAAGTTCGATTTAGATACATCATTCAAATATATCTTTTTTTTATATCTAATATTCTACATTAGGTAGAAAGCTTTCAACCCTTAGTAATAAATATCCGTTCGTCCTTTGAAATACTGAAAATCCGCCGTTCAGATCTGAGATATGCTTTCTTCTTGAATTTCCCACTGATGTAAGTGGCTTGATGGAAGCAACAACTACAACTGGGGGCGAAAAAGGCAACGGAACCGGAAAATCGAATATAGGTGTATGCACGCATGAAGAGATGAAAGAGGGGACGAAAATGGGTGGCGGAATCGTTAAAAGGAGGCGCCTTCAGGGAATCGTTATTTGTTTCATTACGGGAAGACGTAAAATCGCAGAAGCACAGCGGATGGCTTTTCATTTGCAGAAATTGTAGCTCCTTTTCACGTTTCTTCTCCACTTTGTCGACTTTGCCTCTTTTCCACATTGTTTTCTTCGTTTTCCTTTAATGGAGAAACAATTTCCTGTTTTCCGACGATTCAGGATTTAACTTCGGATCGCAGCAAATCCTTTAAATTTGTTCTCGAACGAGAATTCACTCGCAATTTTATTTATTTTTGTAGTCAAAAATTGTTTCGTTTTTCTTTTTATTACGCGATTTTGTTTATTATACGCTGCAATTTCGAGCGGATGTGTTTTCCTAATTGGAATTTTGTTTAATTAAAACATGCCCTTTCCAAAACAACATTAGCTTTTTTACAACATTAAAAAAGAGTTTTGTCCTTTAATACTCCCAGTAAATATGTTTCATAATTTTCTACACAAAATCTATTACATTTTTATTGAAGAAATACTTTACAAATTTTCGTAACAACAAAAATGTTTGAAGTGAAAATAAGCAAACAAATTATTGTAAAAATAACGTATTTCGAGTATTTCCAGTTTACAGGAAAAAAAATCTACAATAAATCCAGATGTGAATTTATTGTATTTTTTGTGTGTGTGTAGGAATCACGTGTAAACCTAAAGTAATTTATATCGGATTGATCGTATAAATTGGGATTTGCGGGTGAAACATAAAAAAAAGCGCAGATCATCCTCGCGTTTTTTCACGGAACAAAAAATAAACAGACGTTCCCAATTCCATCCATGAAAAATGTTTATAGTTGCGCAATAAAAGCACAACATTATATGAAATTACGTGGCGCAAAACACACGCGAAAAGGGTTTCTGTTTGTTTCGTCGCTGCCTTTTATTTCGCATCTGCTGTTACATATTTCGTTTTACCCCATTATTTCAGCCTAATGGATTAAAAAATAACTGGGGGAAAAAAATTGCTCTTCCTCTCTCATCCTGAATATTGCGTTTTTTTTTTGTTGTATTTTGTACGAATTTTGTGTCATCCTTTGAATTATATAACAATGTGATCCAATTTGCGCCAAATTAGTTTTTCTTTTGCTTTTCGGTGGAGACAACGAGGATTTTGGAGAAATTCAATTCAATTTATTGTATCAATTTATATAAAATAAGAAATCTATTGTAGGAATCAAATAATTGATGTTTGAAATTTAGGGGGTGTGATGTTGAAAATTTATTATGAATTCCTTATATATTTTTTTATTAAGTCAACTTGCATTTATTAATTTTGATCCTAGTTTTCAATAAGAATCTATAAAGAATGTAAAAAAATACTACAAGAATTAAATAATTGGTTTTCGAAATTTAGGAGGTGTGATGTCAAATTTTGGAAATTTATTATGAATTCCTAATATATTTTTTTATTAAATCAACGTGCATTTCTTAATTTTGATGTTAGTTTTCAATAAGAATCTATAAAGAATGTAAAAAAAAATACTACAGGAATAATTGGTTTTCTAAATTTAGGAGGTGTGATGTCAAATTTTGAAAATTTATTATGAATTCCTAATATATTTTTTTATTAAGTCAACGTACATTTTTTAATTTTGATTCTAGTTTTAAATAAGAATCTATAAAGAATGTAAAAAAATACTCAAGAATTAAATAATTGGTTTTCGAAATTTAGGAGGTGTGATATCAAATTTTGGAAATTTATGAATTCCTAATATATTTTTTTATTAAGTCAACGTATATTTCTTAATTTTGATGTTAGTTTTCAATAAGAATCTATAAAGAATGTAAAAAAATACTACAGGAATAAGTGGTTTTCGAAATTTAGGAGGTGTGATGTCAAATTTTGAAATTTTTTATGAATTCCTAACATATTTTTTTATTAAGTCAACGTGCATTTCTTAATTTTGATGTTAGTTTTCAATAAGAATCTATAAAGAATGTAAAAAAATACTACAGGAATAAGTGGTTTTC